TGACATGTTGCCGGGTTCTTTTCGTCTTCGTTTGAAGAGTTGCCCCTGTGCTGCATTGCGTGTCGTCTTGTTTGCGACCTGTGGACAAGAATGGTTTATTTCAACAATGAAATATCCAGAAAATTTCAGGCTCGCTTTGTTGGCCGTTCACATTACGAAACTCCAAAAAAGATCGACTAGATTCCCGCATTCGATCGCTTCTCGTTCCAAATAAGTAAGACATTATTATGAAGCGAATCGTTTTTTAATCTAAGGGCAGCAGAGCTGGAGTGCTTCTTCCATTTCACTCCATCGTCTGCTTGAGGAAATGCGTATTCGCTCAACATTGCTCGCTGACAAATGTTTGGAGTAGCAGTTTTGTAAGAGAAGCGTCTGTAGAGTACGGATACACGTGAAATTGGCCCAGAATAGTCTTTGTTCGCCGAGCGGGGGAGGGGGGCTTATTCAGTCACCTATGTGCAGAAGAATGAACACTGACTGTGACGTAGAGAACACTGGAACAAAGCATGTTCGGATCGCGACCACATGAACATTCCGTCGGATGAGCAACCTGCAGGATGTGATTGCGACCACACGAAATTCAGTGGACAGGCCGTGTTGCCGAATTTGGTGGATGTTGCGTATTAGTAAATGTTGCCTGTGAATAATTTGACCGTTTATTACGCTGCGCAAGATTGAAGGACCTAATATTGCTCCATTTGGCTTATGGAAGAATTCCAGCAGCCATTATGAACGTGGCTTTCTTGTTGTCCTTGATACACATATATGCATTGTGTGGAGCGATGAATGTGTTATGTCGAACAAAAAACTTCCTCATTTTCCATGTATTTCTTGGGCTTTTGTTGATTTGCTTCTAGTAATTTACGGTTTGCGCAGCAGCAAACTTTCATGAGCTATTTCTAGTTCATTTTTCTATCGTTGCCGCCCTGATTCTTTTCTGGCTTAGTTAGGATCTCTGGTCGAACTGCTTGGATCGCACGACTGGCTCGACCGTGCAAAGCACATAGGGCAGTTCTAGTATGGTTTCGTTTGAGTGTTTACTTCTAATTTTGTTATATGCTTCGACTATTTCAAATTCATACTTCAGCTCCGCGTATGGCAAGTTTTCCAATTTGTTTGGTCGATACGGCCTTATAGTGACCCTGACAATAATTTCATCTCACGGAAGGCTTACTAGCTGGACGGCTTTCTCAGTGGAAACGCTTGGCAGGGCCTTAGCTGTTTAGGGGAGTTTTTGGTGTATGTCGAGCATATTCTTGTTGCCCCGAACGTTGCCATGCTTACATTACGAACCGTATCAACTGGAAACATAAAAACGAGTATCTGTTGATGCTCGGTTATTGCTCAGAAGTTTTGGAGAGTCAAAGTGAGTAGAGCAAAGATGGCGGAGATCCTTCCTGTCCCCTTACCGGCCTCTCAAAAGCTGTACGTAATCTACAGAAACATGCACGCTAAAAAAATTTGCATGATGGCAAAAATTTTCTTGCTAGCAGAGATTCAGGGCTCGTAAAAATCTGCGTATGTAAAAAGAAACAAATTTTTCATATATCACTTACAAGTAACCTCGAGAAGAACGTCTGATGACTGGTGCTACAGAAGTTTTTGCTGTACTACCGGTAAGAAGACATCTTTGGCAAGGCAGCGATCCTGCTTGGGAACACAACTACCTCTTACTGGAGATTCGGGACTGGTGTGTAGATATACATATCCTTTTCAGCTGTTCATACGCAGTACGAAAGTTAGGGGAGTAAACCAGTGAAGCATGTTCTCGTTTGGGTTCTGTATCATAGCATTCAAGCGAGAAACGATGTTGTGCATTGGAGGACAGCCTCTGCAGGCGGTGACGGCAGTTCAGCTGTTTCAGTGAAACGAGATTGCTTTCATGCTTTCCTGCATCATGAATTTAAACTAATATTTTACTGCTGATGCAGTTATAAAGCTACTACATTTCTTCCTAACTGCCTGAACGTATCCAGCAAAACGTGGGATATTATCGAACAAAGCCGTTGAGCCGACTGTTCATTTGTCCTGGAGTTGGTCAGCATGTACTTCACTAATACGTCAATGCTTGCCTTATTTGTAAATTCGAACTTGCAGATGGGACTCTCGGAAATCGTCGTGATGTTGTATCTCATGTTTTTTTTTTTTTTTTTACCAATAGCTTCTTCTGGCGGGTACATTATCTTACTGCAGATGTCGGGCACGGGTACGGTTAATAGTCAGTCGCTGCGGTTGGAGGATTCGTCGCCTTTCAACCCAGATGGCACACGAGGTTTACTCCGCACACGAGGTCTTCTTATGCATTTTCTTAGGGATTGAAGCAGTGTAAGATGCAGTTCAGAATTATTTGTTCAAAGAAAATTCATATGAAAACATTTTGGTTTTTTTGGGAGTCGGGGAGGGGTACTTTTTTTTAAATGTATTTTTGCGGTATGTGATTTCAGCTTCTCGTGCGGATGAACAGCCTGCAGCTGCTGTTACTCCGGTTTCTGCGCTCTCGCCATCGGTATGCTGCATCACTGTTAATAAAGCAAAAAATGCCGTGATATAGCTACTGTAACTCGGGTAACGAGTTTAGTAGCACAGGGATGGGAGCTGAAATAATATTGATAGGACCATGACAGGAAGGGGGACGAGGAGTGAAAGATGAGAAAATCGAGAGAACAGGTTGAGGAAATTTGAGCGACTATGGGAAGGAGAGAAAATAACAGTTGAAAGCCCGATATCTGATAGGGCAGTAAGCTGAAGTTTTGAAAGGCGACTTATGAAACTTTTGCCGAATATTTAGGAAACTGTCCATGCTTCACCTCATGGCTGTATATACACAGGCTGATGAGTTAGAATAGGAATGGGGTCCGTCAGTGCTGTAACCTTTTCACCATGTACGGGAAATACGTTTAAAATAAAGCTTAAAAAAAGGAAGAAAATCTACTCTGGAAGGACTGAGGTGGGGGAGGAAAGAAACAAAAAATAAATGGCAGTGCGCAGCAGAGTAGCCGGTGCGTTTTGCGCAGTTCTCTCCAGCGAACGTTTGCTTGCCAAAGATCTGGTTTGTGCAAAAATAGTTGAGATGTTGTCTGGTTCCTAAGTTGTGAAATTTCCCACTAAAATCTTGGACGGTAAATGTCCTTCCAAAATCCACCTCCTGATTTTCTGACTTCTGAGTGATATTCGTGCCAAAACTTTTATGTGGTCGTGTGTGAGACCTCGGCTTAATGGGAATTAAATTTGAGTTTTGTAGCTCCTACATAGGCAGGAAATATCCTCCTGAAATTTTCAGCCTCCTACCTCGTCTGGTTTCCGAGTAATAATTTTCCCGCCAAGACATTCACAGGGGCATTGAAACCCAGGCATACGCTTTCAAGCCGAATTTGAATTTACATGGTCGTACACGTGCGTGGTACAATATCCTAAAACTTGAGCTTCCCAGCTTTCGTGGTTCTCGGGATAATTTTCCCCGCCAAAACTTTCGCAGAGTCGTACGTGGCACCCTAACCTAAATGAAAGCTGAATTTAAAATTGCGGAGTTGTACTTGGATAATAGACATCATCGTAAAATCTTAGCTTCCTAACTTTTATTACTCACAAGATAACAGTTTTTCCCCCAAAATTTCCACTGGGCCGTACTTGATAGCCGGGTACGCGGGGAGGCTGGATTTGAATTTGTGAGGTCATACTTGGGTAGAGGTCATTACCGTAAAAGTTCAGCCTCCTAGCTTTCATAATTCCCAAGATAATAATTTCTCCGCCATAACTTTCATGGGGCAGTATGTGATATTCAAGTGCGCGGGAAGGCTGAAATTAAATTTGCGAGTGGTTGTATGTGGGCAGGGGACAGGGCTGTAAAATTTCAACCCGCTAGCTTTTGTAGTTCCCTAGATATAATAACTTCCCCTGTCAAAACTTTCACGGAGTCGTACGTAGTGCTCAGGCGCGGGAAGGCTGGAATTAAAGCTGTGGGTTCATACGTTGGCAGAGGTCATTACTTCAAAATTTCAGCCTTCATGCTTTCATAATTCCCGAGACAACTTTGCCCGCCAAAAATTTTACGGGGTATACGTAGCACCCAGAGGCAGGGGAAGGCGGGAATTAAATTTGCGGGGTCACGCGTGGATAAAATTTCAGTCTCCTAGCTTTTGCGGTTCTCGAGTTGGAAGTTGCGGAAAGGGTACATGGCACACACGCACACACACACACACGTAGGCAATCCCGTGACAACATGCGTTCTGTGCAGCTGTTGCACAGCACAAAATGCATAAAAAACGATCTACACTGAAAAGCCGATTAACGCTTCCTGATCGGTTTCATTTTTATAAGAAGCTTTGTTATCAGATTAACAAGTATTCTTTGAAGCAGAAGGTGGACAGAGGTTTCTGAAATTTTGCTTGAGGGAAATCTCAGTACTGAATGAGGAGCGACTAGTTCAGTGAACAGTATTTTTCAGGATGCTGGTTCAGTGAACATTATTTCGGATGAAACTTTGGTCTCGTTGCAAGAGGGGTGCATCCCTCATTCCGCCGTCAGTTACGATGCTTTGCTGAAAAAATCCATAATGCTGCTCAAGGAAAAAATTTGCTTGGAGGTGAGAATAGTTGTGCCTATTCCGGGATGTCGCGTCATCATATTTGGGAGCCAGAAAAAATGCTTGTTTGTCACTTCTTCAGTTCCTTGAAATGTAATATTTTATAAAATCGAGTAATTTAAGGACGAGAATAAGAAGCTTCGGGCACGAAACGAATCGCTTAAGCAAACCAACAAAACCATCAGGGAAACTAGTGTTCGCCTGGTTCGTCAAATCCTTTAATAACTTATTAGAGATTTAGTCGTCATTCTCTGTAATTTGAGGAGTTCTGTTAGAATGCTTTGCAGCACGCCAAGGCCGAACAAGAAGAGGAATATATCTCAAATACTCTTCTGAAGCGCATTCAAAAATTGAAGAACGACAAGGAGGCACTTGCACTGAAGTACGAGCAGGAGGAGGAGTTTCTTACCAACGACCTCACTCGTAAACTTTCTCAGGTACTCTTTTCCTAAATAATTTTGATTTTTAAAATCGTTAAAAACCTCAGGGTAAGCTGTCTTATAAACACTATGGTTCATGATTGAAATCCAGCACGTCCTGGCTCCAGGGGCTAACCGGAATAAGGAGTCAACCTGTCCCTCTGCACTTCCTAGTTGCAGTCTGGGTTCAGAGTTTTCTCTAACTCTGGATCAGTCCTGTTTCTCAACACTCTGTGGCACCTACTTTATGAGTTTTAAAAAGTTTTGCTTGTATTGTGTTCCTTTATGGGGCGGCCGAGTACTGAAAATATTTGCTGTATATTCAGTTTGTAGTACACTGCAATGGCTTATCCTCTGGCAACCGTCTTTGACTTCCCTGACGGTAACATATCCTTGGCCAATCACCTTTGTTGTGCACAGTTGCATGTTTGGGAACATCCATTTTCCGCTTTCACCAACTGAAAGAGCGTAAATTATCAATATGGATGCAATTTTTGGAAAAGTTTCAGTTCAGTTTCAGAAAAAGCACCAAAATGACGGGTGCCGTAGTGGCCGGGAAAGTGAAATTTAAGCGGTCATATACCTCAGTTTAGAATCGCTTAAGATGATAGAAGTTCTTGATGATGGCCGGTTAAATGGTGGTGGATGCAGGGGCACTGGAAGATGAAAAAGTTATCCGTCTTTACATAAGTTGATATATGAGGACTGTCATTTTTCGCAAGTTGTTGTCGTCTTAAATGATGCCATCTGTAGCTGCAAAATGAACGAGACGAATTGGCTGGGCAAATTGAGGCCGAACAAGGTTGGGTGGTCGACACTTTGCTCGTGAAGATCCGTAAGCTGGAGGCGGAAATCAGCGCAAATCATGCGGTAAGTGACAACTGAGGTCTGCATCGTCGGGATAAAATGCATTCTTAGGATCGTTGCTGGATAACTGCTGAATTAACGGCAGTGTTTTGATTTGATGCAGGCTTTGGAACAGCTGCGACGAGAAAAGGTGGATTTGGAGAACGCGCTGGAGCATGAGCAAGAAGCACTGTTTAACACTCTGGGGAAGCAAATGGACAAGTTGGAGGCAGAAAAGAGGTCTCTTGTGTTTGTACCTTTAATTCACGTTGGCGTCCTTACCCTGGCGATGAGTGGCTATACTACTAGGTGCGAATTAATGCTTCGGATCTGTTACTGGGCTCTCTAGAATTCTTTGATTTGTTCTGGCGTAAATTGCTGCTGCTGCTGCTCCTTGTTTTGAAAGTCTCTGTTCTAGATAATTCTGTTCCATGTGAACGTTCAAACAGTTCTTCCCACCGCATTTTCAGCCTTCTGTGTTATTCCAGTATTGCTCGCATGCCTTTTAGTAATTCTCTTTGTCCATCTGTTTCAATGAACTACTTCGGTTCCAGTGTGGTGTGAGGGATGTTATCGAAGCAGTGTGTGCCAGGAAGACCAGCCAAGCTGGCCACATTCTTGTGGCATGGTCAACCTGGTTACTCTTTTTGGCGCACATTGATTTGATAACGTCGTTCAAAACAGGTGGAACTGCAGTACTTCATTGTAAATATGTTGCAACATTGCTGACGCAAACCATGTATCGTTCAGTCATCGCCAACTTTTCCTCCTTTACAAGCGTGGTATTCCGTTTTCACTTTCACACAACAAAATTGGGAACGCTTTGGAATTCGGAATGTCGCTTTTGTGGTAGACAGATTTGGGAAAAAAAACTTCTCATAATTTTGTAAATATTATATAAACTTTTCTTTCTGTGCCGCTGTACACCCAACACGTTATTTGTTTCTGTTGGTTCTCCTGGCAAGTTATCCCAAGGAGTTGAGGCTGCCTACGAGATCTGTAACTTAGTTCTGTCGCTACAAGCGAAGCTGAGCAGATTTAGCAGAGGCGGTGGATTTTTTTGCGATGAACACAATGTTGTTTGCGAAAATAAACATTTGATATGTTTTACCATCGATGCGTATTCCCCCTGCTTTTTCACCTTTCTCTGAAACGTTTTCAAGGCGGGGACAGACAAATTTCGCATTGCTTCATCTTCTGCTAATTTTTACTTCCAGCGGTTTGTTGGGATAGATAACTGTAGTGTATGATCCAATGAGGAAGCACTAAAGTAACCAAGACCTCTGGTTCATTCAACATGGAGAACTTATGTTGGTAATGTTATTGAGATATTCACCCGGTGCGACTGTGCCAGGCTTTTCGATCTTGAGCTGCATAGTTCCAGCTTGTACCCACTGCCTTTTATGTTTGCTCTCAATGTCTCTTCGTTTAAATTCTTGTGAGTACCGCTCAATTTGTAATGGGTACGGTTTCCTGCAAGGCGAGCCCCATACCTTTGCGCCTCGCAGTTTGCTTTCTCGCATGGCCCATGTCATCAACAGTTAAGATGGTTAGGTCGGATCGACATTTGATTTGGGAACGAAAAGCAAACAGAAGAGAATTCAATATTCTGTGTATTTTTATAGCAGTATAAAATAGGAAAACCCATATATTGAACTAAGGTACAGCAAGTAGCGCTGAACCATAGCCGATGTGCATTAATATGGAAAGAGGCTACACTTTTGCGTCAGTGTCATTTGCTTTAGCTTTCCAGTTCCGTTTTTCAACGCTCTGTAGGATGAGGACGGGATTCTGCACTTTTGTTCTGTTGTGATAAAGGACTTTTACGAAAACGTTATTTTTTTATTTCTAAAAATCGATTCTGTTTTTGGCTGTAACGAAGTGGTGGTCAGAGCGGTTGGGAATGATGGGCTGTTCTGAAAACAGTTTTTGCTTGTCTCTGTGAATGTAATCAATTTCGTTTTGGGCTGCCTTTTTTGTTGCTTGCCATATCTGTCATCTCCTAGGACGTTTTCTGAAAAAAAAAAAAAAAAA